CATGGCAAACCTAACCCAATTGTCGTATGAGCAGTGAACTCTGATTCAAATCAAAATGAACTCTAAAACTATCTATACGTTTACCCCGGTGCAAGTTCAAGACTTTATCAACCCACTTCACAAAACTGAGTCTTTCCAGTTGACCAGCTTTGGGTACACGCTTTAGTGCCTCTGAAGCTTCAAAATCCAAGGCGCCAACCGTAAATGTCCATAGCTCTGCCCATCTACGGGATAAAACACAAGTTTTGGCCGCTTCTCTCAATCCCAAGCAAGAAACTATTAATATCAGAACTTCATCTGGCAGACTATCAATACCAATCTTCTCATCCAAACAAGTCTCTCCCTTATCAGGCTAATCCAATGAACACATCAAGGCAAAAACAAAAAAAAACAAAAAATTAAGACAAAAACATTGTACCACTGCAAAATCATACCATTCCTCCAAACAAATGATACTCGACAAATACCAATCAAAAGAAAGAAAACTAAATTGACAAACTATTCCATTACCTTCGACCGTTTCCGCTTTGACGCCCAAGACGCACCGCACAATGATGTCTCCATTTAACTTGAAAAAGGAATCCTAACGACGAGTGAAAACCCAAATTAATTTCATTCTGAAACCTAAAAGGAGCAAACGAAACCCTAAATTCGACGAAAAACAAACATAAATTTCTTTCCAACAAACATACATGAAATTGCAACCGTTCGAAGCATCCACCAAGTCATCAAAGAGCGGAGAAGTCGGGTTTTCCCACCGACGGAGTGAACCTGCGATCGGCCCTTGATTAACGGGTCGATTCACGCGTTTCAATTGGACTCTTTTCGTACATGTCTTACCAAATTTCTTTTGTCCAAAAACAGATTCCAATTTAGGTAAAATATTTTTAAATTTCCATTGAAAAATTATTAAATAATAATAATTTTATTAATTAAAAAATATACTTTTAAATCTTTATAATATTATTATTACAATAATTATTTAATTGCGTATACAGTATAAAAAAATTATTTATGCATTAATTTTATTCATTTTAATTTACAGATCAAGTAAAGGACAAAATTCAGTGCAGCTAATGGGTCCATGAAACTTCAATTATTTCAGCAACACTGAGAAAATATTAAAATCGATATATATCTTTGGCCCAAGTCAAAATTTCAACTGCGTGCCTCTTGTAAAATTTTATGAAATGATTGAAGCAAGTATGATATATTTGAAGTTTCTGCAATATGTCATACCAGTGCTTGCTCGCTGACCTTTGCTTCGGTGCAGAAAATCACACCAAATATTTCATTTTCTCCAATCGGCCTGCTTGAAATGTTTAACAGCAACAGTGCTGCTGAGAGTATCCATGGTCGTATGGTTTCAGATGGGAAATCTGATCTTTTTGATGGTGAAGTTTCTTCGGAGCTAACGAGTCCTCTCAGTGACAACCAGTCACCAGCTGCAACAATTTCACTCAAGGTGAGAGGTTGTGGAAGGTTTGGTGCTTTTTCCACACAGTGCCCGGTGAAATGCATTGTGGGGAATTATGAAATCGACTTCACAATGAACTCTCTGCCAATTCCACAACAGGATGCATATCGATGGCCTATAGATACACAAGTCTAAGTTGATGGCAAAATCCGGCGGCCTATAGATATACAATGCTAAGTTGATGGGCAAATCCAGTTAATTAGCTGTGATATTGAAGTCTTAAACTTTCTGTAATCACAATTGAAAAGGACTCTTTCTAGCATTCAGAGGAGACCCAGGATGAATTATGCTAATCACCTTGACTTGAATTCAGTCATTCTGAGTTGTCTCATTATTATATATAGTACTAGTACTACAAATATCATATTTCCACCCAGCTG